ATGCCATGACCCTGGGATCATGACCTGAGCTGAAATCAAGAGTAAGACGCTCTGAGCCACGCAGGTCCACCCCCACCTTTGCATTTCACAGCGTTGTTCCTTAAATCTTTTTGTGCCCAATTTTTTCTCCACTTAGCTTATGTGAGGTTGCACTTTTGTTAGTTTTCCTCACGACTTCCTGCTGCTGTTATGTTTCTTGGAGCTTCTCTTCCATTAACTCTTTAATGTTTCTTGGAATGTGCCTTTAACCTGTTGTTCTTGTTATAATGGTTTTTGGGTTTTTTTTGTTTTTTGTTTTTTTTTTGAGAGAGAGACAGAGACAGAGCATGAGTGGGGGAGGGACAGAGAGAGACACACACAGAATCCGAAGCAGGCTCCAGGCTCTGACCTGTCAGCACAGAGCGCGACGCGGGGCTCAGACTCATGGGCCACGAGATCATGACCTGAGCCGAAGTCGGACACTTAACTGATTGAACTGCTCAGGTGCCCCCGTTCTACACCAGTATGTGTTGCAGTGGGGTCCCTGGACAACAGCATCAGCATCAACTGGGCATTTGTCAGAAATGCAATTTCTTGGGATGCAATTGAATGAGAGACTTCTGGAAAATCCAACACCCATTTATGATTTAAAAACAACAACAATGTAGCAAACTGGATATAGAAGAGAGTTTCCTGAACTTGATAAAAGTGCCAGCAAAAGTTAAGGTACAGATTACAGAACATCTTTTGGCAAACATCAGATCTACTAGTGGCGTATTAGAAGCGGCCCTCTTATTATTAGGAAGAAGACAGGGTGCATGGCTGGTTCAGACAGAGGAGTGTGTTACTCTTGATCTCTGGGTCATGAGTTTGAGCCCCACATTGGGTGTAGAGATTACTTAAATAAAACTTTTTTTAAAAAAGGAATAAGACAATTATCCCCACTATTACCACAACCAACCAACATTTCACAGATGGTCTTAGCTACTGGTATAAGGCAAGAAAAGGAAATGGGTGGTATAACTATTGGAAAGGTGACATTACACTGTTATTATTTGCAGGTGATTTAGTTACCTGCTTTAAAAAGAAAAAAAAAAACTAGAAAGAGAGAGGTAGAAGATCAATATACCAACAAGTTTCCCATATGCCAGAAATGCCCATTTTAAAGGATCAAAGAGTAAAGATCTCATTGACAACAGCAACCAGACCTATAAAACTCCCAAGAAAAAACCCTTTGTGGAGTAAGTATAAAACTTTCCTGTGGACGGGAAGGAAAAATTCCCTAAATAGATAAATCAAGTTCATGAATTGAGAGACCTAATGTTGTAAAAATGTTCTTTCTCCCCAACTCAATAATTTGAATGCAACCCAATTAAAATTCTGATTTTTCGTTGAATTTCATTCATCACAGGAATAAATAATGCAATAACAGAATAGTTCAGGTTTTCTTTTTTAATAGAAAAAGGGAGAAAGGAGTTATTCTATATATTAAGACATGTTATGAAACTGTAGTAATTAAAATGAAGTTGATGCAAAAATGGATATTTAGGTAAAACAGCAGAGAGTCAATAAAACAGAAGAGAGGTCCCCATGCACTTATGAGAATGTTCTATATGATTGGGATAGCATTTCAAAACTATGCCTAAAGAAGTAACGAGTCAAGAAATTGTTTGAAAAATAAATGGCTGAACAGCAGTAGCTATCCATACAAAAAAAAAAAAAAATCCCACTAAATTCCTACTTGATACCATGCATACCAACAATTCCTGTTGGATTTAAAAATAGTCCAAAAACAAAACAATAATATCTGAGGGAAAAATATTACCAAAATTTCTTAATTTCTCTATTATTCAGGATTCTTGATTTTAGCAGAACCAACAAAAACAAAGTCTGGTTAACTAAGGCAGAAACAATTTATGGGTAGGAAGCTGCAGAAAATGGCGAGAACCAAAAATCCTTCTTAAATATGACACAAAATGGGAGAAACACCGAGAGTGATACATTTGATTGTGTGAAATTTATAAAGAACTTCTAGAAACAGTAAGGATAGGGTTTGTTACCACCATTTTGGAGGACGATCTGGCAGCATCTAAGGAAAGTTGTGCTTAGCCTACAATCTAGTAAGTTCCACCTCTTAGCCCCCTGGAGAAATATACACATTTGTGCCCAAGGAGACATGGTTAAGAGTGGGCATTTTGTCCTTATCTGTAATTCTGAGAAATGAAAAGACCTAAACATGTGTCGGTAGTAGAAGAGATAAAACACAACATGGGTAGCTGGTAAAAGGAATGTGTGTGACATCGCACATGGAAAGATCTAGAAGTCTGAGGAGGAAAAGCAAGTTGAAGAATAATCCAGGCAACATTGTGCCACTTTTGTAAGGAAATACAGAACATTACTGCATTATGTGTGTGTGTGTGTGTGTGTGTGTGTGTTTAATTTAGAGGGGGCTAGAATGGAGAGATAGTAATATTTCAGCTCAATCTATAATGCTCTAATTTTTTTTTTAAGTTAATACTTAGGTATTTAACAAAGAGAAATGAACATGGCCCACAGGGCCCCATCTGACACCATGTTCCTACTCCCTCTCAGAGCTTCATCCAGACTTGCTTCCCAGTGCCTCAGGACCTTTGCACATGATGTTTCCTCTGTCCAGAATCTTGCCCCTCCTTTCTCCACCTAGTTGACACTATCAGTTCCTTTGGATTTCTGTGAGAAAGCCAACTGCTCAACAATGCTTTCTCAGGGCCTCTGACCTAGGTCGAGCTCCTGGCTTTCAGAAAGCTTACCTTTGAGCTTAATTACATACGTATTTTGTGATTATGAACTCTAGCTCTATAAGAGGCAGTCTCATGTTTCTTACTGTGTCTGAACACCTCACTTCACATCTGGTAGAGTAGCCATTCGAGAACTGGTTGGAAGCATTAAAGCCTAAAGGCTAGAAAAATAGGACTGTGTACTTTCCTAAAACAGTTGTATCTTGAGGCCTCAAGATACACCCCAAACACTGTCACTTCCCTTCTGGAACTGCGGCCTCCTCAAATGTTCTCTACCTCTGGCTGCTTAAGGCTGAAGCCACCCAGGAGCATTCCTAATTCTCTGCCCTTCTTATCTAATCAGTCTCTCCACCAGTAGAGTCGACTTCACTCCCACAACCTAATCCAAACTGTCATCCTCTCTCACCAGGCTAATGCAATAGCTGCTTGGCCTTCGCCGGTGCCCTCCGGGTCCCAGGCACGTCCACACAGCTTCCAGAGCCATCGACGTACAAATGCAAACCTCACCGTGACCCTCAGCTGCCTGCCACTTAGCACGGTTTTAATATTGCTTCTGCAGCCTCTGGCTTACCTGGAGAGTTGGCCCGGTTTCCTGGGGACTGAGGGGTCCTGGGACGCCAGGCTTTCAGTGTTCAGACCGGGAATGTCCTGGGCAAACCAGAACGAGTTGGAGGCCCTGCTCCGCTGCTAGGCTATAATCTCCATGAGGGCGGGAATCATTTGGGGCCTGTTCACTACCGTTGCCCCAGTGCCCAGCACAGCAAGGTCTTTTTTAAATGGCTGTTTTTGCAGAGTTTGAAAGGGAACGTACTTACCTTTGTTGGGCCAGCAGCTTACACAGAGCCTGTTGCCCAGTAGGTGTCCCAAGTACCATTTTTGCGGGTGAGAAACTTCACCTGACTGCTGATTCCCGAATTGCTTTACTGAATCAGCTAAACCTGACCTCCAGAGGGGGAAGGAGACACCACTCTGGGACAGGCCATGTGGCTTCTGGCCACTGAACTACGTGCAAATTCCTCTGGACTCTAGATTCGATCACTGTTTCCAGAACCACCGATCTACACACTGACCCCGACGGGAGCCCCTTCTATCCCTTCTCACGATCACAGTGGTAGAGCTGCTCGAATCTGACCTCTACCACTTAGTGGCCACGTGACCTCGGGCAAGTCGCTTCTCCGAACCTCGATCTGTAAAGAATTCAGGCTTGCCCTTCCTAGAACCCAGCACTCTCGAGCATCAAATCATGTGTAGAAACACTCTGCCAATGCTAAGAGGCTATCCAGATGTTACATTTGCAACTTCTAGTTCTCCCCCATCCACTCAGCGCAGCCAACGTAGACTTGTTTTCTGGTTCCAGGAAGCGGCCCAGACAAGACAGCCTTCAGGTGAACCGAGTGAATGAAGCTGCACAGATGGGCAGTTAGACTTTCCCTGGAAGGGAAGGAATCAAATGTTTCCTGGCTCAGCTACTTGGGAGAGCCTATGAAATTCCTCACAGTTGAGGTCATACTTCTTTCCTCTGTGCTCCACTCTCCCAGCACAAAGAGAGTTAATCGGCTTAAGAGATCCAGGCCAGGGACGCCTGGGTGGCTCAGTTGGTTGAACGTCCAACTCTTGATTTCGGCTCAGGTCGTGATCCCAGAGTCGTGGGATCAAGCCCTTGGTTGGGCTCTGCACCAAGCGTGGAGCCCGCTTAAGATTCTGTCTCCCTCTTCCCTGCTTGCATGCTCTAAATTGAAAAATAAATAAATAAAAGAGATTGAGAGAGAGAGAGAGAGAGAGATTGATCGATTGATCGATCCTGGCCATGTAATGCCTTCACAGGAATTGTTCAGAAGAGACCAGGCTATATGGAGCCTAAGAACATTCCCAAGAACCCCTTTGTCTTTTTAATACCCAGGCGCCAAAACAAAACGCTCAGTCTCTGTGACTGAAGCACCTAAGAATGACTGGATAGATTTTCAGTGACTTGGAAGGCATGTTGGGATGGTTTGCCTTACAACAGAGCTCCAGGGAGCCCTAAGAGAGGTGTCAAGGAGCTGGGTCATTGTCTTCAGAGCAGCCAAAAGTGACAAAGTGAGCCCTGTGTGGCTTGTCTACGGGAAGAAAGATGCCCTACATGTCAAGTTGATGGGCAGAGATAACGGGCTGGTTTCAAACTCAAAGTCGAAATCAAAGACTTGGATACATCTCAGAAGACTTCTTTCTGTCCCCAGGTTCGAGACCTCCAGCTGAGAGCCCGGGTGGAAGACACTAGTTAGTTTGTTCTTTATTTTCATTGGAAAGTTATATGGTTACTTATCAACAAAATTGACTGTCCAGGGCAGAGATATCCAGTGGTTTCTATGTACAGGACCATCCCTGGGGTCCACACCTCCGCAGAGGCCTCACCCCTCGAGGCCTCAGTCAGCTCCTTCCCAGGCCTCCAGGAACCAATCACAAAGACACAAGGAACAAAAACGGGCCGGCCTCGGCACCTGCTTTCACCCCGAGGGGAGGTGGCGGCTGCTGGTATGGGCCCCGGGCCTATTCTCAGGTAGAGGGTGCAGGGGCCTCTCTCCTGGGAGCCTGCCCTCATGCCTCCCCTGCCCAGAAGGGCTCTCTTGGACATTCCTGGGACTACTCTGACAGGCTCGTGGGTCCCACTCGGGCCTTCTTTTCTCTCTGCTTGTCATTTTAACACTGAGGCATCTCAGCCTCCCGTCTTGGAGGATAAGCATTTGCTCTGGCGCCTTTTCTGTTGCCCCTGTTTTTTTGTACAAAAACAACAGTACTCTCAATCGGACCGTTTTTTTGCCCAAGAAACAAAAGTGGCTCAACAGGTACAGTTCTGCTGGTCGATCTGCTTTCGGCAGGGTTCCATGGTGACGGCGACACCCACGCCGCTCCGGCCGGATGTCATGTGGGTCACCTCGCTCCAGGTGTCGGTGTCTGGGTCATAACACTCCACACTGTCCAGGAACGTGTGACCGTCGTAGCCTCCTGCAGGGACAGCAGAGGACACAGTCACCCCCTCTGAGGGCAGGGGAAAGAGAGGGGGAAGGACCCACAAGAAGCCTTCCTGCTGGGATTTGAGCCCACCCCCAAGAGACGGGGCTAATCAGTTTTCTCCACCCAGGTTTCCGCCCCCAGGGCCTCACCCAGAACGTAGATTCTTCCCTGGTGCACAGTAATCCCCAGGGCACTTCGCCGATGCTTCATGGGAGCTACAAAAGTCCACGTTTCTGTCTCCACATCATAGCGCTCCACGCTGTTCAGCTGGTCCTGACCATCGTAGCCCCCCGCAGCATAGATACAGTTGTGCAAGACACAGACTCCTAAACCGTACCATGCAGAGAGGGTGACTCCGGGGCCTGGCATTGGGGGCCTAGCCACCACCTTCTTGGGGGCGCCCTCCCCGCTCCCCTCCCCCGGGAGACCCTTTAGAAACAAAGCCGCAAGAGAAGAGCTTGGACTCGGTCAGAATCTAGCTCTTGTGTGTGTGCCACAGGGTTTAAGATCAAAACAGGAAGCCTTCCCCAGGCCTGGCCGAGTTTCATTCTCAGGAGTGGGAGGGTGTCCCTCCACCGTCCCCTCCCGCAGCCCCCACCCACCTGCCCCACTTCGGATGGTGTTCATGGGTGCGATCATCCGCCACTCGTTTCTCTCTGGGTAGTAACACTCGGCTGAGCTGAGGCGGTTTGTGCCGTCAAAGCCCCCGACGGCATAGAGCAAACGGTTGAGGACAGCCACGCCCACCCCGATCCTTCGAGTCAGCATTGGGGCCACCAGGTGCCACTCGTCCCGCTCTGGCTCATACCTGCAAAGGAAGGACAGCGACAATGGCAGTCGTAGCTGACCTCGGGGGGACACGTACTGTGACCCGATGTTCTGCCAGTTCTGTGGGCACTCGAGCTCTTTCATCTTCTAGCTATTCTCTGAGGGAAACTGAGGCTCACAGCCATCACCTGTTCGAGGTCACGCGTACGTGTGTTGCATGCTGGTGGCCACACCCTGCCCCATGGCGAGGCCCCGTGCTGTTATGTGTCATCCCACCCAAACCGCACCCAGCCTGTTGGGCAGGGGTCCCCACTGCCATCTCCCGTCACCTCCGGGTGACAAGATGGAAGCACAGAGGGATGATATGGCATGTCCAGGGTCGCCAAGGACGTGGCGCTGGGGTTTGACCCAGCCTTCTAAGACACCAGAATCCTAACTCTAGCAACTAGGCTACCACGCAGGATGGTTTTTGTCCAGGTGTGGGGCTTACTTAAAATTCCCATTGCCCAGCCTCACTCCGAGCCCACCACCGATGCCAGGTCTCCAGCAGTGGGCTAGGGAGTTTGTTTTAACAAGTGCTCCAGGTGAGAACTGTATCCTGGATCACACTTCTGCAAGAGGAGAGGGCAGAGGACTGGCTGTGCAAAAGCAGAAAGACCAAAATACTCAGCTTCTAAACGCAGGGTCACCATGCAGTTGTGCAGGTTGTGCACTGTACAAGGGTACCATATCCCAGGGGCACCTTCCACACAGAACACCTCGTACATCTGTTTATTATGGCAATTTTGAGGCAGATGGCAGCGAGGTGTCATGGTTTAATAAAATTAGCATTTTACAGTAACTTCAAAATCATAGAACTCTTTCCAGACCTGCAGAAAAAGAGTTGTATGGGTTTGTGACAGCCCTGTAGGCAATTCCCAGGCCCAGACACATCATCCAAGGTCCCTGACCCTACATCTCCCAGGAATTTAGCTTCACCTGGAGGCGTCCACTCCCTGAAGGTAGGGCACAGAGAGACAGGCGCTCGACAACAGGGGAAGTCTCCACATCCCAATGGGTTGGGACCCGGTAGCAATGGGACCCTCAGCGTCCACCTACTCCGGGCCCTGCCACTCACCTCTCCACACTGTTGTGGTGGATGCAGCCATGGGAGCCACCCACGGCATAGATGTGCCCGTCGATGACCCCAACCCCAATCCGATTGCGCGGCACGCTCATGGGGGCACAGGGTGACCACTGGTTGGTCATGGGGTTATAGCAGTCCAGGGCACTGGAGTCGGTGTTGCCGTCGGGCGAGTTGTTCCGGCCACCCACGGCATACAGCAGCCCGCCCACGACGCAGCCCGCCAGGCCACTGCGAGGCACCTGCAGGTCTGCCAGTCGGAGCCAAGTGCCATCGCTGGGGTTGTAGGCCTCCAGGTAGCTGAGCGACTGGCGGAAGTAGCCGCCGGCGGTGTAGATGAGCCGGCCCACTTTGGGCGCCCGACAGGGCATCACCTGCGTGGGCTTGTGCAAGGTCAGCTCCTGGAAGATCTTGACCAGGTAGTCCTTGCAGCGGGAGTCCGCCTGCAAGATCTCGCACTTCTGCAGCTGCATCTGCAGGAAGCGGGGTGTCAGCGAGTGGCATCGCACAGCCCTGAGCAGCGCCTGCACGTAGAACCGCCGCTGCTCGCAGTCGTACTTGACCCAGTTGATACAGGCGTGGAAGACCTCGGACTCGCAGCGCACGTTCAGATCGTCTCGGCTGATGAGAGTCACCAGCTGGCAGTGGGACAGGTTGAAGAACTCCTCTTGCTTGGCCACCTGTAGAGGGCATTACCGTGGCAGGCTGACTCCCGCGTGCCGCTCCCCTGAGCCCGCCACGGCGGCGCGATCTGGGGGACACGTCTCTCAACCTGCCTCGGACAGTCTCAGTTGCCAGTTTGGTAAAACGGGGATTTGAACGGTATAAACTTCACAGGTCGCGAAGATTAAATGAGCTGGTGCCACACATGCCAGGCATATCAGAAGTAGGCACTCAGGTAAACGGGCAAAGAGACAATGTACCACGTACCTTTTTGTTTCGTTTTGTGCTTGACCTACAAGTTTACCCGTTTGTTGTTTTTTTTTAAACAACCTTACTTTTTCTTTGTTTTTAAGTTTCTTTTTTTTATTTTAAGAGAGACAGACAGTGCAAGTGGGGGAGGGGCAGAGAGGGAGAAGGAGACAGAGAATCCCGAGCAGGCTCAACACTGTCCGCGCAGAGCCCGACGCGGGGCTCAAACTCACAAAACCATGAGATCGTGACCTGAGCTGAAACCACGAGTCAGCCGCTTAACCGACCGAGCCATCCAGGCACCTCCGACCTTACTTTTTCAAAAGGGTAGATTGGCTAAAAGGGAAAAAGTAGCAGCACTAGAATGTTCTAGAAAAGTGTAGGCTCTAAAGAAGAAGGCTGAGCTACAATATGGCCCACTACTTTCTAAGTAGGTGACTTGGGCAAATACCTGAAACGCTCCAGGCCTTGGTCTTCTTCCTCTGTAAAGGGGGTTTGTGTTAGCAGCTACCTCACAGCCGGGCGAGGTAGCCAACTATATAGTAGGGTAGACAGGGCCCCAGGCAAGTATTTCTTGTCAGGTACCAGTCTATAAAAGCAATTTCGGTCAGCCCACATCAGCAGGCCACCAATGCTCTGGTAGGTACCCCAAGCCCATGCAATCCCTTTAAAGAAACATTATGCAAGCCTGTCGGAAAGCCCTGCTCACAGACCACCTTTCTGGAAGCCATAGGCCCTAGGACCAGTGCCAGAGGTCCACAGGGCATCTGGTCAACCCCACATGTGTGGTAGAAGGGAGAACATCTGTCCCTTAAGGGGAGAAATGGAAACCAGGGCACTATCTACCCCGGCTGATCCTAGCCCCTGGAGGAGGGCTTTGAACATTCCAGGAAGAAGGGGCGCCTGGGTGGCTCAGTTGGTTGAGCCTCCGACTTCGGCTCAGGTCATGACTCACAGTGTGTGAGTTCGAGCCCTGCATCAGGCTCTGTGCTGACAGCTCAGAGCCTGGAGCCTGCTTTGGATTCTGTGTCTCCCTCTCTTTCTGCCCCTCCCCTGCTCACACTCTGTCTCTCTCTCAAAATAAATAAATATTAAAAAATTTTAAAGAGAAAGAGAGAAAGAAAGAAAAAGAGAAAGAAAGAAAGAAAGAAAGAAAGAAAGAAAGAAAGAAAGAAAGAAAGAAAGAAAGGAAATTTTCAGGAAGGCACTCTAAACCACAGGACTCTCCAAGGCTTGGGACCTGGGGTACAGCCCTCTTGGGCCAGACCTAGGGGTGGTACTTCCTCTTAAAAGAGTTGAGAAAATCCAACGCTTTGAAGAATGGAAATCACTTAGAACCGGGGTTGGCCCAGCCAGGGCTCAACAAACACTTATGATTATCATCATCCCAAGGGCACAGCCACCAGTGGGTGCCACCCAAGAATTTGGGCTCATCACTGTGATTTTATAAGGAATCTGTCATTTTATGCTCACAACTTCCTCCACTCAAAAACGAAAATGAAACCAAGAACAGTGTAAGGACGACACTACGTCGACCAAAGAAAACTCGTCTAAGGGTCACATCTGAGGTAGGCAGCATGTCACGGGTGTTCCATAAATATCTGCTGACGGCCTGAAGCATCGGGCCCTGCTCCGTGCACCCCAGGGCTGAGCTGCTGTCATGTTCCCTGCATGGGAACGAGCTTCATGGGTCCATCTTCGTGGGTCACTGCCTTCCCTTGACCCCGGAGAAGTCAGTGACCCACGAAGATGGACCCATGAAGCGCTCACCTTCCTCGGCTGTTTCCCAGAGTCACCCCAGGTGTGTAGACTAGGACCCCAGAACCCTGTTTTTCTCCAGCTCCCTGATCTGACCCTTGTCCGTCCGTCGCTGGTCCTTCTGATACCGCCCCCAAGCCCTGCCTCACGTCTCCCCCCACCACTCACCTCTCCGAAGTGCATGTAGATGTACTCGCGGGCTCGCTGGTGCAGCTCGGCACAGCCGATCTGTTCGGCGAAGTTGGCAATGCCAATGGCGTTGCTGGGGTCCAGCTGCTGCACCAGGAAGTCGCTGCAGGCGCGGACGACACTGTCGATCTGGTACATGACGGCGCCGTTCATCACGTGGAGCACGCACTTCTCACCCATGGAGATGGAGGCCGTGTAGGCAAACTCAATTAGGCGCTCCATGACCTTGGGGTGGATGCCCTCAATGGACACCACCTCCATGCCCTGCTCCCGCAGCCCGTTGGTGAACATGGCCTTGAAGACAGGGCTAGATGAGGCCAGCACCACCTTGTGAGCCATGAACTGGGCGGCCGGCGCGTCCTCGTATTTGACCTGCAGTGTGACATCACACAGCTGCTGGCTGAGCCGCAACTCGTTCATGATGCCAAAGGCCTGCTTGGTGTGGTCCTCTAGCGTGTAGCTGAAGGTGCGGTTGCCGTGCTGGGAGGGCGTCACCTCGGCTTTGCACTCGGTGGAGGCGTACATCACCGCGTCCCCTGCCCCCTCGGGGCGCTGTGACCTCAGGGGAAGGAATCGGGTGCGGGCCCCAGCCCCGCTAGGCCTCGGTTCCGGCTGCATGGGGTTCCAGGTGACAAGGGACAACACCACCACGGGCACTCAGAGGCCTGGAGGAGGGAGAGCACAGGGCTGGGGCAGGGCCTGGGGTCGGGCCTCCTTTTATAAGATAAAGCGACTCCTAGACCAGTTTTCCTTCCCAAGCCCAGGTGAAGCAACGTCTGTTTGTGCTAACTGCCACATGGCCCCACCAGCCCAGGATTCCATCTTAAAAACACGGGTCAGGGGCGCCTGGGTGGCTCAGTCGGTTAAGCGGCCGACTTCGGCTCAGGTCATGATCTCGCGGTCCGGGAGTTCAAGCCCCGCGTCGGGCTCTGTGCTGACAGCTCAGAGCCTGGAGCCTGTTTCGGATACTGTGTCTCCGTCTCTCTGACCCTCCCCCGTTCATGCTCTGTCTCTCTCTGTCTCAAAAATAAATAAACGTTAAAAAAAAATTAAAAAAAAAAAAACAACAAACCACGGGTCAGATGATGTCCCTCCCTTGCTCAGAATCCCCCCCCACAACTCCCCACAGCACAAAGAGTAAAACCAAACTCTTCAATGGCCTCGTAAGCCCTACACAGTCAGCCTCCATCCACCTCTCCCCTTGGCTCACTCTGTTCCAGCTTCCCTTCCCTTCCTAGATAGAGCATGTCTATTTTTTTTTTTTATGTTTACTTATTTTTGAAAGAAAGAAAGAGAAAGAGCATGAGCGGTGGAGGGGCAGAGAGGGGGTGGACAGAGGATACGAAGCGGGCTCTGTGCTGACAGCAGAGAGCCCGACACGGGGCTTGAACCCATGGACAGTGAGATCATGAGCCAAAGTCAGTCAGATGGAGCGTGTCTAGCTCCTTCTTTCATTCTCCTCACCGACATTTACTGAGTATCTACTGTGTGCCAGGCGCTGTTCTAAGCACTGGGAACACAGCAGTGAGAAAGGGGCATAAACTGTGCCCCCTTGGAGATGATGAGGGATGGGCCATAAGTAAAATAAGCAAGAGTTGAGTATAAATTATGGTTATTTAAAAACAAACAAACAAAAAAGACAACAGCACCGTGATAGTGTGACTTGGGGCAGTTACTTTAAATCACGTAGTCCAGGGCTCTGTTAGAGCTGAGACCAGAAGGATGTACACACCAAAGGGATGGATGTTCCAGGCACAGGGAAGGGCAAGGGCAAAGGCTCAGAGGCAGGATGAGAGAGACAATCTGGGGACTCGGGGGAGGGTAATGAGACCTACTGACGACTAAAGGGAAGGCTTCCATGAAACCTGTGGAGTCTGGAGGGCCGGGCCATGAGCTGCCCTTCTGAAAGGTCCTTCAGGGAGAAGACGGGGAAATCTGCAAGAGGCTCCCCAGGTTCTCCATTTATCTTTCCCGGGCTCCGCGCACAGTCATCTCCTTCCTGTTTTATTTCCACCGCAGCACTTGTCAGAAACCGAAATGAGCTCCGAGCTCCGAGGCTTGCTCTGACGGATGGCCCAAGCCCCGGGCCCTCAGCCCCAGCGCTTCAGAAGGCAGGGAGCCCTGCGTGGGTCACGGTGGTGCCCACCCTCTCATGTGCCTCCCCCACGGCCTGCCCGGGGCCTGGCACTGCTCAGGGGTCAGTAAGCGAGTGGCTGGCTGACTGCCCGCTTCACTGTGCCTGCCAGAGCACCCTCCTCCACCGGGGCCCAGGGCGCCGCTTGACCGCCTCTCCCCGGCTGAGGCCCCTGCCCTGCCTCCTGGTCTTTGGCCAGTCGGTCAACGGTGCCCCTTGGACACTGGACACTTCCCCCCCACGAAGCAGATAAGTGGGGGACTGCGCATGCCCTGCCTGAGCCGCCACCGAGGCCTGGAGAAGGGAGGAAGTGACCCCCGCCGCAGCCTTTCGACTGCCAACCCCAGGGCGCAGACCAAGCTCCCCAACGCGCCGCGCTCCCCGGCACCCGGTCCGAGGGGCACTCCCTGGGCCTCTCGCCCGGCTTGCGCAGCTCCCGGGCCACCCCTCGAGTCGCGCCGTCCAACAAAAGGCCAGGACTCGAGCCGCGCCCTCCGCGGGGCCGCGGGAACCCCAAGGCGACCGGGCCCGCGGCGCCCTGTTCCCCGACCCCCGGGGCCCTCCCGGCCCGCGGCGCCCGCAGCCCGGGCGCAGGCCGCCTCACTCACCCCGCCATGGCCGCGCTCGAGCTCCGCCTCCGTCGCCCAGGCCCGGGCGCCTCCATCGCTGCGCGCCGGGGGGAGGCGCGGAGCGCGCGCAGGTCACCATGACTAAGCAGAGCCGGGCGCCGGCCGTGTCAGAATAAAAGTCCCCGCGGCCCCGGGGCCTCGGGCGGCGGGGACGGCAGAGGGGCCGTTCTCCCCGCCCCCGCTCCCGCGGGCGTTGGCGGAGCAGCGCAGCCCCAGCGCGGCGACCACTACGCCCGTCACTACGGCGCGGCGCACCCGGCCGCGTGGTCGGAGCCGCCGTGAATCGGCCCCGGGTTCGAGGCCCGGAGCGCCCCTGCCTGCACCGGAGATCGGTGGACAGCCCTCCCGGCCGGCGCGCTCACCTCGGCCCCCGCGTAGCCTCGTAGCTCTCGCCGCGAGGTGGGGATGCCCGGGGCGCCGCGGCGGCTCCGGGCACAGTGGTGCCACCCGCGCGTAGAGCTTCCGGGAAACCCGAGGGTCCGGGGCCCGGCCGGGGCGGCTCCCGCCTAACTTTCGCTGGGGGGAGGGGGGGGGTGCCTGAGGGCGCCTCCGCTGTCGGGGGACCTTGGCTCCGGGGCCGCAAGGCCAGCGGGGTCTTGGACGTCGGGTGGGGGGCGGCCTCGGGAAGGCCTGGAAGGAGGCGGGGAGAGGGCGGGGAGGGCGCGGCGGGGAAGGAGCCGAGATTCCCCGCCCTTCCCGCAGGTGCCCGGCGCCCCTGAGCGAGGAGCGGGCGAGGGCGAGGGTACACGGCCGGGCGGGCGCGGTCCGTCCCCGCTTCGCACTGTCCCTTCCATCCGTCCGATTTCGTCGTCTCAGCGGCGCGGGGCTGCTCTCCCCGACCCGCTCTGCTCTCGCGAGCCCCACACAGCCCAGGCCTCACGGTCCAGCGGCCGCAGGATCCTGCTAGAATTATTTACCTAGTTGGCTTTTCCTTGCCTTTATTTTTTAGTCACCTCCAATCTAGAGGCGCGTGAAGCTCGCCTGCGGGGGTTTGAAGCCCGGCCCCGCCACTCTATCTCTGTAGGGATACTTCCATAACTCAACTTCTCCACTCTTCAGTTTCCTCTGTAAAATGGTTACTAATACTAGCAGCCACGTGAGGACCGAATGCGAATGCTGGTGCCCAATAGATTCGAACAATTGTTATTTTTCATGGTAACGGATACTGATTCATCATTTTTGTTGATTATGATATAAAGTTAATTTTTAAATGTCTTTTATTTATTTATTTATTTATTTATTTGCACGTGCGCACAGGGGAGGGACAGAGGGGGAGAGAGAATCTTAAGCAGGCTTCACTCCCAAGAGGGAGCCTGGGCAGAGGGGGCAACCAAAATCAAAAGACAGAGGCCTTTTACTGACTGAGCCCTAGGCACCCCTAATGTACTTATTTTTGAAAGAATCCATCTTGGGGCGCCTGGGTGGCTCAGTCGGTTAAGCATCCAACTGCGGTTCAGGTCATGAGCTAATGGTTCATGGTTCATGAGTTCTGGCCCCATATTGGGCTCAGCCCTGATGGTGCAGAGCCTGCTTGGGATTCTCTCTCTCTATGCCCCTCCCCTGCTCTCGCTCTCTCTCAAAAATAAATAAACTTTAAGAGAGTCCATCTTAGCCAAATTATGGAAGGAGCCTAAGTGTCTATCCATAGATGAATCGATAAAGATGTGAGATATATATATATATATATATATATATATATATATATATATATATATA